CTATTGTAAAGGACCTTCAAAACAAAACAAGGATAGCATAATATGTGTAGGCCAACAAAATTAATGGGCCCTCATAAACTTTAATCATAATAACTCCCCCTACCTGCTATATAACCTCATCTCTGAGCTAAAGACAAATGTTATAAACAGTTGCTGAAGGACAAAATCAAGTACTTCCCAACTTTAAAGGGGTGGTTCAATGCTATTTCACGCATACAGCATAATATACACTGCTAAAGAATAGGTCAAGTTGCAAAAAAATGATTTGGACATAACATGATTTGGTATTTCTTTTCAAAAAGTTTACATCCGGGTGGAAACAATTTTTTTTCCTGAACCTGGCTCTATGCTAACGTAACCGAGATCATATATTCTTCTATGGGTGCTTCTTCTGGAAAAGTAAGTGCATGAACAGCGCAAGAGCACACCTACAGTGTCACCCCACAACAATCCTTGGCTAAGAATAAATCCCAAAAAGTGTGTTTTTAGATGTGAGTGAATACTGATCTTGTTTAGCCATAGCTAATTTAACCCCATTCACATGTAAATTTTGAATACTTCTGCTAACTCCTCTTCAGGAGTTTTGAGAACACATCACTTTTATATTTTTCATGGTGATGCGTCTGGTTCATGACAACCCACAGCCCCATTCACAGCAGAGGAGATTAGAGCTGCTGGAATTACTACATAACAATTGATCAATTTCTCCTAAACTACAGTACATTAAAGTAAATGGCTATTTAACTCAGAGGAGAATAGAGTAAATGCTCTAGTTTTTTTTAACCCTGTGTACTTTTTATTTTATATTAACTGCCAGATACGCAAAAGGATATGTCAAAATCATGCAAAAACCTAAGAGTTCATGTAATGTTGAAAATGCCTGTTAATGTAGACCTATATCAGACAGCATTTTCAACCAGATCCTGCCCCTTAAGCAGTTTTATTTCAATTAAGGTGATTGTGTTGTGTACAAAACTCAGAACTACAATCAATCGAAGGAGTTCAGAGCACACTGATATTTTGATATACTTTGCATAACTTTTTAATGCTCATTTAGTAAAATTATGTACTAAAGGACATTTAAAGTGTAAAATGCATGACAGGACCTCTTTAAATGACTCTGAAGAAGCCATCTGATGTCACTCTCACCTGTGTCCAGAACAGGAGGCCACGTCCTGACATCAACTGCAGCCGATGCCTCCTTTGACTTGAGGAGCTTGGATATGATCTGTGTGGTCATCACACAGGCCGATCGGCTCACCTGCGCACAAATTCATACATTAGCCATTGTTTTAGCTAAAAATCACATGCTAGATAGTAGTGTTGTCAAAAATATAGATATTTCGATAATTATCGATACTGGAATATCTAAAACAATATGATCTTGCTTTTGGTTAGTATTGATATCGGCTTGGTTGTCTTTAATAAAAAAGAAAAATGGATACTCTTAATTTTGTTTGTATAGGGGTTTCCTTCAAAAATGGTATCTAACCTCTACATTTTTCAAGGTATCGTATCGAAGTTAGACTTGAGGAGCTTAGATATGATTTGTGTGGTCATCACAGACCGATTGGCTCACTTGAACGTGTATTCATGCATTAACTATTGTTTTTGTCACATAAGACATACTACATAGTAGTCAAAAATATTGATATTTCGATAAGTATTGATACTGGAATATCTAAAACGATACGATCTTGCTTTTGTTTAGTATCAATATCGGCTTGGGGCGAGGCAGTGGCGCAGTAGGTAGTGCTGTCGCCTTACAGCAAGAAGGTCGCTGGTTCGAACCTCAGTTGGTGTTTCTGTGTGGAGTTTGCATGTTCTCCCTGCCTTCGCGTGGGTTTCCTCCGGGTGCTCCGGTTTCCCCCACAGTCCAAAGACATGCGGTACAGGTGAATTGGGTAAGCTAAATTGTCCGTAGTGTATGAGTGTGTGTGTGTGTGAATGTGTGTGTGGCTGTTTCCCAGAGATGGGTTGCGGCTGGAAGGGCATCCGCTGTGTAAAAACTTGCTGGATAAGTTGGCGGTTCATTCCGCTGTGGCGACCCTGGATTAATAAAGGGACTAAGCCGACAAGAAAATGAGTGAATGAATGAAAGATTTGCAATATCAGTTTGTTAATCTTTAATAAAAATAAAAATGGGACACTTCTAATTTTATGTGCATAGGGGGTTCCTTGCAGTATCGACATTGTTTTGAATATCGATATTTTCCAAGGTATCGTATTGAAATTAGACTTGAAGAGCTTGAATATGATTTGTGTGGTCATCACACAGACCGATCAGCTCACTTGAACATAAATTCATACATTAGCCATTGTTTTTGACACATATCACATACTATACATGGTAGTGTTGTCAAAAATATCGATTTTTTCGCTAAGTATCGATATTGGAATATCTAAAACAGTATAATCTAGCTTTTGGTTAGTATCAATATCGGCTTATTTGTCCTTAATAAAAAATAAAAATGGGCAACTCTTAATGTTTGTATGTGTGTGTGTCGGGGGAAGGGGGTGGGTACTTCGTACTTCAATCCTCGCAGTATTGCAAATGGCATAGAATATCAATATTTTTTTAGGTATCATATCAAACTTAGAAATTCCTGCATCGCAACAACACTACTACATTGAAAAGGATCTCAGGTCAAAACTTACTTCCACAATCATTTTCACAGTGGGCAGGGTGGTGGCGATGTTCTGGGGGTGTGGTGGTCGTACTGTTATTGGTACACAGCCGGCATACAGGCATCCATAAAAGGCAGCAATAAGATCTATACCTGCAAATTAATAAACAAATATATATGTGAACATTGTTTTAAAGAATAGATATCCTTTTATCATATGAACTGGGTTCCAAGTTTTATAATGCAATTAATGTCAAGCAACCAATTTTTAGTAGTGCTGAATGAGTTAGTCACATGAGTGTTTGTAAAGTGCATTTTAAGCATGCCACTAGAAGTGAATGGCACTACAACTTGTTCTATACTTATCATTTTGAATATTTTATAATATTTTATCATTTTGAATACTGATCAGTTTGAAGGATTTGATATGGAGTGAGGGGAAAAAAAACACATTTATAATGTCTGTAAACATTTACTTTTTTTAACATTATCTAAAAATTAAATGATAAAATATGAAATTATTGCTACTTTCATATTTTCACTCTCAATAAAGCTTAAATGTGACTTTTTTTATGAAAGATCTACTCACTAACATGGCACAATATGATTTATGAACATCAGTTGATGCTTTGATTAATAATAATTTAATTACATTAAACTTGGTTTGTGTTGGTTAATAAAAAAACAGACAATTGTTTGCTTATTTTAGCTTAGCTCTATTTAGAAGTATGAACTGATTTTTACTTTAATAAACCTGTAAAATAAATAAATATGTACTTACTATAGTGCTAGAGCTAGGATTAAGGTTTCATTAGGGCTTGGTTGCATGTGATTAAGCATATTTGACATGTTTCACTACAGTAAGACCAACAACAGTGTTAGTTTTAACTAACTAGCATTAAGAGTCACAAGATACATGACCTGAACTGTGTTAACTAATGGATAAACTGTTAGAGATGAATGGGCTGTGACCATTGTATTAAAACCAGAGTGTGATGTTTCCCGTTTACTACCTACAACAGGACTGTAATTATCAAGAAACATGATCTAGTATTATTAAAATATTATTAGTAAAATTAGACATTTTAACCACAGTAGAATATTTATCTGTGTACCTAACCTAATCTGAGACACTTGGTTTTAATGGACATCATAAAAAGATGCAGAGGAACTGATCACAAAACTGGGGTGTAGATTTGTAGCTGAATGTATCGTACGTACCAGGTGGGTAAACCAGTGCAACGTGATCCCCGTCCTGCAGGTGTCCTCGCTCCATCAACATGGTGGCAATCTTCTCTGCACGCTTATGCAACTGAAGACATGTCAGTGAGCTCAAGACTGCACCCTGCATCCACAAACACACATACACAGACAAAGACATCAACATCACAGTCCCCAGTTTAAGATGAGTAATCAAAACTCTTCTAAAGAGGGCATATGGTGTTCAAAATAGCCTGTTATGATAAATGGCTACATTATAAATTATATTAAAACAGTGCATCCCTCACAAACCAGGCTGAGATCATTTATGAAAGCAATTCCTGATCCCTGGAGGGGGGAAACGGTGCAGAAATAGAGACATTTCTTTGTAGACTTTCTTAAGCACAGGGCCACACTCAAAAATAGTCAACATATTAGCCGGTGCCTTCTTATTGCAGAATTATAGTAGATTTCTTTACTAAATACTGTATATTACTGTATACTGGAAGTACTGGGTATTGAAAATAAAGGTTAAGTTTATTTAGTTCTGCAGAATACTTTGTTATTTAAAACTAAAACTAAAACTAAAACCACCACTACCTAAATTTGATCATTCCTAACTTAAAACTAAAATATCTAAATAAAAAAATAACAGACATATTTAAAACAATATTCATAACAGTACTGATTAAACACTTTTTATTACACAAAATACATGAAATTTTATTCAAACGATCAAAAACAATTTTTTAATTATTAATGCAAATAAAATTTTCTATTATTTTTTTATTTTATTTACTCTTTTTATTTACTATTGTTGCACTTTATCATTTTTTATTTATAAATGTTTCATTGTCTTGTTACAAAAGTTTAAAAGGGAAAAGTCTTTCACTATGTCTGTCATATCAAGTATTTATGTTTTTTTGACTCAATATAAACAATAATTAATTTATTAATTAATAAGAAATGAGAAAATAGTTGTATAATGTATAATTTTATTAAAAAGGTAAAGTTTATTTAATCTTGCACAATACTTCATTATTTAATACCAGAACCACCACCTAAATTTTATCATTCCTGACCTAAAACCAAAATACCTAAATTAAAAAAATGTTATATTGACTTATTTTTATCACATTTATTATAAAACACTTTTTTACACTGAATATGTGAAATTTTATTCAAATGATTAAAAGCTATCAACGCAATAAAAAAATGTAATAATAACAAGAGAAAACATTTTAAAGAAAATGCATACTATTATTATTAAACAGGTAATGTTTATTTAGTTCTGCAGAATATTTCATTATTTAAAACCAAAACCATCACTACCTAAACTTGATCCTTCTTGATAACCTAAACTTGATAACTTAAAACCAAAATACCTACATAAAAAAGTTAAATAGACATATTTAAACCAAATATAAAAATTTATTTTTTATTACATTTATTATAAAACACTTTTTATTACACTAATTATGTGAATTTTGATTCAAATGATCAAAAGCTATTTTAACTATCAACACAATTAAAACTAAAAATAATTAATTATTAAAAAGAGGAAATATTTTAAAGAAAATGCATACTATAATTATTTAAAAAGTTTAATTAGTTCAGCAGAATACTTCATTATTTAAAACCAAATTCACCCCTACCTAAACTTGATCATTCCTAACTTAACACCAAAATACCCAAATAAAAAAATAATTATATAGACCTAATAAAACTGACTTTTTCATGCTTTTTTAATGAAACTAAATATATATGTGAAATTGAAAGTAAATTAAGAAAAGCTAATTTGTTCCGTTAAAACAAAAAACTCTCAACCGCATAAAAAGAATTAAAGAAAATGCATAATATTATTAGAGATCATACCCTTGAGCTGAGGAGGGTGAAGAGAACATGATCTGGTGTGGTTTGGGCTCTCCACTGCAGCACCTCAGACAGAAAGAGGAACTATGGGTAGAAAAACGCCCAGAATTATTACCACAAAATTCAAGACATTAAGATGACATAATATTCCATATAAAGTATTCCATTACCATTGTTTAGGTTATGCATTAAAATCTCAAATGTAATGTAATATAATCAACACAACGTTTAAAGAGTAACCATTAAACACAGCATGCTTTCCTGCAATCAGCAAGACCTGTTAAAGTCATTAGCGACCAGTTTGTTAGTTTTATCTTAAAAGTAAGAAGTGAATGCAGACATGCATTACCTCGTCTCCCAGTGTTATTCTCACATCGGTTTGCAAGATCTTTAAAGCATGAAATAAAATTTCCATTCACTCAAAGGGCCCGATTTTCATAGGCATGAATGGATGGAGGCAACAAAACAACACAAGTTTTGGAGTATAAAAATGAAGTAAAAAACAAAAAGTCATGCATGACTGTGATTCTCCGAGCAGCAGATGGCGGAGGTAACATTTGTTGGCGTCAGACATGCAGGAGTGTGAAGGAATGAGTGAAAGAGACACACAAGAAAGGCATGCAAGAAGCAGCCAACAACTGTTGCATTTTTGGGTTTGTGCATATGTAAGTATATGCGATTTGTGTGTAAGGCCGACAGCTGTGTGTGTGTGTTTGTGTGTGTGTGTTTTAAGGTTATGGTGTTGTGCACAGCGGACAGGCTGACGGAGTAATGGCTGCCATCTTTCAGCCTGAGAGGGCAGAGTAATGGTGCTGAGGTGCTTGACTGACAGCACAGCAAAACCAAAGACATCAACTCAACACAAAAAAACAAGCAGAGCAGCCCTCCCAAACAGAGCCCAGAGTGCAATTATTATTCTAATGGCATATGTTTCTGGAAAACTGCTGTTAAAATGGTAACTTTCACATTTTAGAAGCATAAAACTGTCAAGTTTGGATTTGGCCAGAATGAATGGTGTAACCCTTTAAGGTGATCTCTATGAAATCATATTACTGGGGCCATTTATTTGGTTAAACTGTGCACTAAGCATTTTTTGGAACCAATGAACAGACCAGGTGGACAACCAGATGCCTGTTAAAAGGTTAAAGAGTTTTCTATATATAATATATTCCTGCTGATGTATATAATATTGTATAATAACAATATAATGTTGTAAATAATGCTCAGTTTCTTGAACTGACTGATCAGTTTGTTTCATAATATCTTAATGGAGTAGGGATGCAGCAATTATAGATTTTGGTTGCACGATTATAGTCTGAGCAATAATAATGTTTTCACACTTATCATGATTATTATGCACTTATTAATTTCAAAACACTACTAGTTTAGAAAATCTTATGAAAACTCCTTATGTTTGAAAGTATATATATATATATATATATATATATATATATATATATATATATATATATATATATA